ATTTATTTATCCATCGACAAAAAATACAAATATATGCTGTATACACATGCTACAGGCCGCTTTAAATACATGAGTCTAGGATTCGGGGCTAGATTCTGATAGATAAAATTTAAACTATGATAGTAAACAGGCCACTTTAAATACATGAGTCTAGGATTCGGGGCTAGATTCTGATAGATAAAATTTAAACTATGATAATAAAAACTATCCCCCGCCGGACACCATCCCGGTATGTATGTTAAGTTGAAGCAAATGCAATATATATTTACACTGTTTTAATATTTGCCTCGTGATTTTTTGTCGGAGACATTGTATCCCCGTCTGCCAAATCCTGCCGCTACCGGTCCCGTTCAGAAATAAAATCAATTCACTTTGTTTTGTATCGATATTCTTACTTTGTCATGAACGGAAATAAACTGTTTGAAATAGGCATGTACCACCAGTTTGCATTACTGCAAATTGCCTAATAACAGTGAATTCAGTGAGAAACGTTCCCACACAAGTAGGTTCCCACGATCAGGAGAAGCATGAGAGAAGCAGACACAAGGTCAATCACATACAGTAGTCTTCTCTTTAAACGCCGCCAACTCAGGAATGTAGTCGCTCTAGTGTCTGATCTGATTCTTTGAACACCACCTTCAGGAATGTAAACGCGCTGCTGCTCCGTAAGAAGGGAATAGCCGACTGCCTTGTTCAGCAATATATGCCATGGTTTAACCATTTTTAAAACATAATAATATATATAATAATACAAACATGTATTAAATTCATATAGCCTACACAGTAAAACACAATGCTGAAGCATACGTTGTTTTACGTGCGAACTTCTTCAACTGATCCAGGTCAGTGTTTACATGCTGTATTGTGCTGGCTGTGCAGGCACGTGGGAATTAGAAAGTTGGGCAAAAGGTAGTTGTTTTGATAGGTCAATTTGAACATCGCACAATATAATCTGGGTAGCAAGGTTACTGGTGATTGCTTTCTCTTCTATAAAACCTACAGGTAACGGTAGGGCCTAGCCTACTAAAATACAAGAAACATTGGGGTTTCCCCAACAAGAAAATAAAATTAAATTTAGGCCTTTATTATAAACATTTCTTCGTGAACTGTCACCTAGCGTAGGCTAGCATTTTACTACCAAGCTACTACTATTATAAATATAGGCCTAGGCCTACATAGCCTAGGTACGGTAGGGACACTGAACAAGATTTGAAGTTGTTTAAATCACGATCAAATTCCAAATTTCACTGAACGCGTTTAACATTTGCGATTCACGAGCAGTCAGCCATATGAAAAGGGGAGGAGTTAACTTCCAAAAAGAATAAATGGCTCGAACGACAAGCTTCCAAACGGCATTTCACAGACGCGTTTAGGAGCTTGTCATATAACAATAGTAAATGTGTGACCCGTTTCTGTAGTTGGGGATAATTTGTAGATCACGCCTGTACAGGTGAGGTGTAGAAATATGTAGCATGTTATGGCAGTACCTTATTGATGAATGAGTGCTTACCTGTCCAGGTTACCTGGCCACACAAGTTGTAATATGTAGAATGTTGATGACAGTTACCCATTGATGAATGAGTGCTTACCTGTCCAGGTGAGGTGTAATAACATGTAGCATGTTGGTGGCAGTTCCCCATTGATGGATGAGTGCAGGGGTTTACAGGGGTGCATTCCATGCCATCACCTTCATAGTTTGCTTTACACTCACAGTGGTATCTACCAGGCCCATCATAAACACAATTAGCCTGTAACATCAAATAAAACAACCAAAATCACAGTCACAATACCCTTCTAATTCTGAGAGCACCATTTTTAAAATACCAAATGACCACATATTTTCCAACACTGAACACACACTGACAACCTTTTAAATGCAAGACCAAGACCACAATTTTTAAATTCCGTTAGTAGCAGTGATCTTCTAAAAAGACCACTTTTGAAAATATATGTTTCAAACAATAAATGCACTATAACCATAAATAATTGTATGGT